TATAATAATTCAGACTTTTTAGTTAGTCTTACAATGTTGAAATCATTATTTAACTGTGCAATTTACAAACTTGTGTATTTTTTTGTAAATTAGTTAAACACGTGATAAGTAGTTGAATCATCGGAGATGGCTCAAATCAAAGGAATTTAACTTAGAATAGCTGAAAAAATAATGAAGTTTTTTCTCATAACTTGAAGGTTATTTTTGTGTTGAAGGAATGTTTAACATGAAATAACCACATTGACTAAAAAATAAACGATTCAGGATTTAATGGAAAACTTTTGCTTTGTTTTAATTTCAAAACATATGTTCAAGATTTAATCAATTTTTTTATTATTTTATATTTTATTATTGTATTTAGTTTTCAAACCAGCTTTGTTGAATTGTGAATGTGTATACTATATACTAATGTGTATTTGGAATACGCTATATTTATTTTTTTAATCTAATTTATTTTTATAAGATATACCTTTACATTACTTTTCCTTATTATGTGACTTATTTTTATATGTGTTATCAATGGGACCGCGTCTCGTTGTCCCTCCGTCTACTTGTACCTCGAGGCCTAATATCCATAAGAATAACATATACATTTTTAATTTGAACTTGTTGTAATATTCTCCGTGACTAATACCGTACAAAAACACTTTATTATACTCAATTACTTGTTTTTGTAAACTCTGAATTTATTTATTTAAGATAATTGTTTAAAGTTGCTGTTTAAGCTAGTTAATGTTAGTTTTCTATAGAAAGGTAGAGTTTAAGTGGAAAAAACAATGATAGCAGATCTTGACAAGAAATAAGGAAAACCAAAGTGTAATATGGATAAGGACTGACCAAGGGACACAAGTACGTTGTTGTCAAGAACAGGGATTTCTCAATGAGCTGCAGACAAGCCAAATTTTCCTGGCTTTTGTAGCAAGTTGTTTATAATAAATTGTTGTAAGATTGTATGATTTTTAAAGAAATAAAATAAATCTCTTAAACCGGTAACAAGTTGAAGGGGAGATACAACTAGCCGCAGGTACAACTAGACGTAGGTACAAGTAGGCGTAGGTACAACTAGTCGTAGGTACAAGTAGTCGTAGGTACAAGTAGTCGTAGGTACAAGTAGTCGTAGGTACAAGTAGTCGTAGGTACAAGTAGACGCAGACGTATGAGGTACAAGTAGACGGTGACGTTCCCGACTAGTTGTACCTGTAGATTTTTAAGAGGTACAACTAGACGTAGAGACAACTAGACGTAGAGACAACTAGACGTCCGCACCATCGTCAAGTTGTCTCTACAGCTTTGGACGGGGTACAACTAGACGCCTGTCACCAAAATGCAGCAGGTACAACTAGACGCCGGTACAAGTAGACATCGCCCCCTCACCTTTAGGTTGGAGCTCGTTCGCTGGGCTCACTTGCCTTCAGGTTTAGCTCGTTCGCTACGCTAACTCGCCTCCAGGTTGAAGTTCGTTCACTACGCTCACTCACCTTTTGGTTGCAAATTAGCTGTTTTCATAAATAAAAGAAAATAATAGTGCTGTACCCTGTTGGTAAACCTATTAACTTTTTAAAGCTATTGAACATCACAGAATCAAATTGTTTAGTTTGAACCAGCTGTTAAGGTTCTTTAATTCCATTTAAATATAAGTACTCATAAGGTTAGGTTAACATGGGGAATTACAGAGCCACTGGGGCGGAGCCCCAAAGGATTTTTTAGATAAGAATATGGCTAAATGTTAATCGGAAATGTGAGCCATCATCATGCCAAATTTCAGCCCAATCTGTCCATTATCTTATGCGTGATTGAGCAACACACACACACACAAACACACACACACACACACACACACACACAAACACACAAACTCACAAACTTTCAGATTCATAATATTAGTGAGATATCAGTGTTGAATGTTACAAGGTTAATTTCCAAGATTAAATTGAAACGTGGAAGACATTCGCAGCTTAAATATTTACAGAATCTGCAAGGGAGAGAAACTACAATCGACTGCGAGAAATAAATTTTACCACTTCGTCTACAACCAAGCCAGATCCAAACAACTCACAATAATCTCACCAGATGTTTCAGAATCTCGGTCAAGTAACGCATAGAACAATGAAAGGAGTCAAGTAAATTAAGATCTTATGGCCGAGCAATATGATGAACAACAGGTTGATCATTTTAAAAAGGAGAGTCGACGAATTGCATGTTTAAGAACGTTAGCGCACTGAAGTATTTAATTCCCCAAACCTATAAAGTCGCCATGTCGGTGGATGAGAGATGTTATTGAAAAAGCATTATGCCCCCACATTGCAAGCGGACAATATTAGAAATCTATCTATCTCTATATCTATATATTAATAGGCAAGCATGTTTCTTTAAAACCTTTTTTCTCAGCTCGTGTGCGTCGTAGGGAAAATCTATGCATACTGTTAGAAAGATATTTTCCTGTAGGTGTGCAGAATCACATTATAAATTAAAATAGGCTCAAAGATAAGCACAAAAAATGAATTTGAAATTAACAAAAAATTAACATGGGCTTTATGGGTTGCCATGATGGTGACGAAATAACAACGAAATATAAACAGAAAATCAAAACAAATTCCAATCACATGTTTTATTTACAGAGTGGGGTGAAAAATAGAGAAGTATGTAAAGTGCAATTGGATTTTTTTAGCTAGAAGTGGTTAAGCTGTGGTGGAATACCTTTGAAGATGGACCTTTTTAATACGATCATGTGTTCATTCGTGTCAAATCAAAACAAACAAACTGGCATAATATATTCTTGGAATTTGACATACTTAATCTACTTTAATAAAATCACTTAGTCATTAGCTAATCATTAGAAAATATTATCCAAATCAACTAATGAATAAATTGTTATTTAATTATTGCCTTCAAATTAAGTGATGGTTAATTGCTTTGAAAATAATTAAATTACATATTTATGTACATATTTATGGTCGAGTTTCGACCACTGGACGACCTCTAGTATCAATTAATAGGCAAGCATGTTTCTTTAAAAACTTTTTTCTCAGCTCGTGTGCATCGTAGGGAAAATACAACGCATACCATTAGAAAGCTATTTTCCTGTAGATCCCGTGCAGAATCCCTTTATAAGTTAAAATAGACTCAAATATAAGCAAAAAAATGAATTTGATTTTTTTTTTATTTAACAAGGGCTTTATGGGATGCCATGCTGGTGACGAAATAACAACGAAATATAAACAGAAAATAAAAACAAATGGAAGAAATTCCAATCACATGTTTTATTTACAGCGTGGGGTGAAAATAGAGAAGCCTGAACCTTTACATTCCATTACCATGATAAAGTTGTCACCAGTTTTTTTAGTAAATTCGTCGTAGTTGGTGTGAGCCACCAACAGACTGCGCTGATCTAAATGACTAAATTTCTGTCGAATACACGATGTTTTTACCAAGTCAAACTGTTTGAATGAGCTATAGCAACTGTTATGACCCATCAACTTTGTCAGCAACAAAAAATAAGGTAGAAAATAGAATTTAAGACACGCTTTTGGTGAATGGCTCACAAAACTACATGTTTAAAAATAAGGTGACAGCTGGTTCATAGAGATGGGATGTCTACTTCAGTATCCAATAGTCAATACGTGTACGTTACATGTTTTTGGTCGAGTTTTCTACCACTGGACGACCACTAGTACTTATTTAATACGCAAGCAGGTTTTTTGTGACAATTACTCCTCCGAAGCTACTGAGCCGATTGACATGTTTTTGGTGTCATTGGAAAGAGCGTAACGTGAAGTTGTGCAGGAAACTTTCTTTTTAGGGAAATAATTAGAGAGTGAGGTCCTAGGGCCCTTTAAAGTTTTGTATTTCTCCATAAGATTAACATGGTAAACAAAAATTTTTATGAAACTCCACCTGTTGTCAGAAATTAAAAGTGACAAGAAAAACATATGTTAGTTGTAAACAATCAATAAGTTTGCTAATTTAACAGTTAAAAAAAAAATTACCGACGGTTGAAATAAATTATTTACTATTTGAATTTGGGTTCGCGTAAATATTACAATGTAAAAAAGCGAGAGAGCCTGATTAAAGTGATATACTAAAAAGAAATCTGAATTAACATAATGTGCTGCATTTCTTAATTGAACAGTTTTTTTTTATTGAAAGAGCCGATTTGCAAACTATGGGAACATAGGAAAGTCACAGAACACCACCAAGGAGAAGACATAGAAATAATGTTTTTTTAGAAGTTATAATCGTTATTATGGACCACCTAATGCGGCTATGAGTAAGGCGATTTGTAGAAAACACTAAAAAACAAGATCAGCTTTTGAAAAATGATAAAATATTTACAAGAAAGGTTGATTATATCGATCTGTTATGTACATAATATTGAGTATTTCCATAATCTCTTAGTGGAATCTGAGTGTAAATTATGACTGTTATTCATTTTAAAATAACACCTGTAATACTTAGCAATTGCTCGAATTCGAGCAACAGGGACACTAGTTTTAAATATCGGGCTATCCTTGCTCAATTTTATGCTGAAACTAGGAAAGATAAACAACGAAATTATCCAAATGCTACTGGGCAATGAGAAGGTTTGAATAGGTTTCGATTCTATAATAAACTTATAACTAATAAATTAATATTAATAAACTAATAAAATTAATATATTGAATATTTAATTCAATCCGAGCAAAGCTCAGTCTCCCGGTAAGTTACTAGGCCTACTCATAAAATAAAGTACTGCAGTGGGGTTTTTGTATAAACATTGATAACAATTTGCAAGTCTTCTAAAGGTATTACCTACTATACACCCCAGGAATGGATACAACAAAAGGAGAACATTGTGTTATTTAGAAAATTATATATTTCGGGAAGCAGAATAAGTGACCCCTGGATGGCATGATGGTTGGTTTGGTGGGGGGGGGGGGGGGGTTGAGAGAGGGGCAGGATCCTGCAGGAAGGACAAGAGGCAGCCTTGGACCCAGTGACCTGGATAGCTCGTCGTCGACGGACGACGGTATAGTGTTGGCAGTGGCAGTGGAACTAGTGGCAGTGGCAGTGGTAGCAACAGACTTAGGATATCACACTAGCGGGGTGAGTGGCCATGCTATGGCATTATCACGAATAACGAAGAGATAAGATACACTAGTTTGTAGGCGTAGTTGTTGGGGCATTCCGCAGAGGTTTATGTCTATACAACACATTTATACGTAAATGTTGTGGCAATACTTGGTAAATACTGTACGGTAATGAAAACTCAATTCAAAGTGTTATTAGTCACGAATGGTTTCAGAAGTATATTGGATGTGTACAAATAATGAATACCATACAAAAATTCTCCACAAAAATGGCAAACATTTTGTTAGCTACCTATCGATCGATGTTCATTTTATTTCAATCCTTATCTAATTCAATATATCAAACTTGCATTTGAAGGTCTCTGTAGACAGTTAGGCCTAGTAAATCATTTTCAAAGTAGAATTAAACTTCCTCTAGTTCATAATTAAAATGAAAAATGTAGTTGTAATTATTATATTCTAAGTAAAGAGCAACCATATATTTATTGATTCTCTTCTTGTAAGCCTAATTAATTACCACCAAAGCTTGAAGTGTTTAGCACTACTACGTTACAAAAGTAGAATTCCCGACGAAAGGTATCTGAATTCCAAAGTATCTATATATTCTAACGTTGTTAATAGTAAAGGTTCCTAGCCACAAGGTACCAGTAACCTAAACAGGAAAGGAAGACCTGCTATCGGCCTTGGTGAGTCCCCGGGCAATGTGTACCACTTTCTCGCGCGGTATTCACTTACCTTACGGTTCCTCGAATACTCTTCTGTGACTCACGCTGCTTGCAAAGGACTGTTAAATCTTTACGGGAAATGCCAAAATCCAATGTGCCCAAGGATGGAAATAAATTGATTTTCGGTTATAGCCTACTGAAATGCGGACATTCAAATTTTACCAAAGGTTTAATCAACTGTTTTTAACAGTTTACTTTTGTATAATTCGCAATTGAGCAACAAAAGCCATAATGCACTCATAAAAATATAAATACAATTTAAAACTGAAGGTTCTTGCTATAGTTATATATATTTTTAATAATCTATCCATCAGGATTACTTACTATGCTTGATTTCTTTAAGAGAAAGATATACGAGTAAGCTAACCCTCGCACACAAAACAAGGATTAAGAACAAATATGTTTTATTTCCGTTCCGTTAGACTTAACCTATTCAGCTTTATCTAGATAATCAACGCTATTTGTGTTATTAATAAAAAGTACCAGGGACCGAGCATTGCACGTGTTAGGGAGGCTGTCCAAACCGCCACTAGGTTTGAGCTAAGCTTTCAGAAAGTGTAATTTTGATTTGAAACCAATTAATTCCAACGCAACTTCTACTCTTATAATAACATATTTAAATCTAAACATATAAAAGGCAAAAAAACCCTCACTGACCGACTGACTGATTCATCACTACTCCAACTCTTAGACTAGCCAGAAGGCCTCGCTATCCGGTGCACTCACTATTTAGTCAATGGTTATACCCACCTACAGTACAATACAAGGTACAAGCATTGACTATTGGATACAGAAGTTGTATTAATAGTCAAAGGTACAAGTCATACATAAAATATACTCCCAGTAGATTTCTCATCCTTATAAATCAGCTTAAGCTAATTTTATTGTTAGTTCCGCCCGGTGCATTGTAGAGGTCGTGTTTTGTACTAGTTATTAGTTATACATTTGTTAATAGTTATTTCAGTCATTTAAAACCTCGTTTACCAAATAAAACGATCTAATCATAAACAATAACTCGTCCCCTAGTTATATAGTTAAGGCACAACACAAGAAATTAATCATAAAATAATAGAAACAAAATTTCGTCGACACTAATGATCAGTGTCACCGGATATGAACTTGACACGAAATACGAGTCGAGTTCATGTCCGGTTCAGGTCCAAAATTTAAAGTGGGATGAGAAGTCTAAGGCTGTGGTTTCCTAGACGCGTAATAGATGCGCAGCGGTTTAGATGCGCAGCGTCTTTTATCCAGGTCCCAAAACGCAGCTGCCGTGAGTGGTTTCCTAGACTGCGTACAATACACACGGTTGGTGCGTAACATAAGTTCACGGGAGAGATTACTAGTGACTACTATGGTGTTATACGATGATTTAGATAATGAAATGGATATTTTGGCATTAAAAGCTTTGAAGAAACGTAAGCAGTGAAAAGTACATGTTAGGAACTGTACGTGGCCCTCACGCATCTTTTAACTGTAGTGTTAAAGCAAACATGTCAATTTAAAATGAAAACAATAAATCTTAATCTTAATCTAAATCTATCAAACTTTGCTTTTACTGTTATTATATTTACCTATTCGGGATTTACCGAATCGATGAAAATACCTTTTATACTTATACGCCAACCCCATAAGAAGTTTGGGTACTATGCTAGTAATTAATATAGAGCTATTACTAAGATGTTCAGGAGTTCTTAAAATAATTATGGGGGCACTTATATTTATGAGTTGGTTGTGCTGACTTGAAAAGAATATTTGTCAATATTAGGTTTATTTATTAATACAGTAACAACAATATAAAAATATGTGAGGACAAATTAATTGTAGGGAACATGTAACAAGGGGATTAAATATTAAAATCACACATTATGGGGAAATTAACACTACATAAAGAATGATATGAAATATCTATAATACTATAAAATTGTAATTGTATGAACAAATTATGTCCATAATATGTCATTAGAAGAGACAAATTCAATCAATTTTTCGTCGTTGTTGGAGAATTTTGCCTTCTGAACAACATTCACTTCCGAATCCATTGCACAAGACATGTCTAAAACGCAGCGTAACTCAGATTCGACTGCTCCGAAAGCAGTCGGCCAAATACGCAGCTATTGGTGCGCGCGTATTAGATGCGCGCGCATTAGATACGCAGCCTAGGAAACCGCTTACACGAAACTCCATAAGACAAGTGTGCTGCGTCTTAGATGCGCACACGCAGCGCATCTATTACGCGTCTAGGAAACCACAGCCTTAGTCTATGGTACAGTACAGTACAGGACAGTACAGTACAGTACAGAACAGTTCGGTACAGTATACAGTATACCACTTCTAGTAAACCCCTCCCCTGAATCACTCTTACGCTCTGAGGAGTCAGACGGCACTCGGTTTTGACAGTTTATGACGGCAAAAATAAACGGCATCAGCAATATGACACATACATTCTCACATAAGACTGTCAACAACCTTTATCATGGGTTAGCTTTGGGAGTAACAATGATATTTTATAAGAAAAATAAAATCACAACAGCTGCAAAACTTTTGAACTAAAATTGTTTCAGCAATGGGGGTTGAACTATTTTGTTTAGAATTTTTAGGGACCATAACACATTACTTTTAATCAAAACCAGATTTCTAGAAAATGCGATTTTCTGTAATTTTATTGGGGTTTTTATGGAGAAAGTAGTTCTCCGCCCGACATACTTTTCAGTTTTATTATGAACTGGCTGAAGTTGTGACTGCACTACGTTCTAACATGACCTTTGGTATTATTTTCCTGTATAGTAACAGTTATTAAGGATTGAATCCATTCGTAAATATCCTAATCACCTGAGATAATAATTTAGACATATGGAACTACTAAAAACAAACTAAACAGGTTGCCGCAAACCGATTTCAATAATCGTAATAGGTTTAAAAGTTAAGGGGGTGCAAGTTAATTTTCAGCCACCCTCGTGGTCATTTGGATTTGAAACTTTTTAGGGTGCCATTTTGTCATTAGTGGTCCAATTTTGGGTTTCTTTATGTCAATTGTTTAGTTTTGTCAAGACCTGTAAAATGATACCCAACTCGACTAGCAAATTTTGAGCTACCCCCTACCACCGCTACCCCCTACTCCCACTACACCCTACCCCCCCCCAAACCCGTAAAGCTAAAATTAACCATAATTATGTAGCGCCTCATTTCTAAGAAGGTTGCCGAAAACCGATTTCAAATATCTCAAATTGTTGAAAAGTTAGGGAGGGGTGCAAGTTACTTTTAAACCACTCTGTATATACAAATATACAAACCAACATCCTCTTTTATACTCATAGATAACATAAGTTACAATAACTCTTAAACCGTAATTATCACGGAAATGGAGTTTGTACCATTTTGTTCGGAATTTAAAGGACTATAACATACTAAATCAAAATCGTTCGGGCCATTTTCGAGAAAATCTGATTTTTCCGTTATTTTATGTGTTTTATGGGAAAGTCATAATTTAAAAATCAAAATTTAAAACAAATAAATAAATCCTGTAGATACCATGGATTAGTGCCTACGTACCAAAATTTCATAAAGATCGAACAACAGGTGTGGTTCGTAGATCTGTACACATCCACACATATAGACACACACGCACACACCAAGACATAACTTCCAAAACCACTTTGTTGTGTTTAGGGGGGCCAAAAACAGATGTATTCACTCAAAACTCAAACTCGAAAATTTTGACGAAAACATGACTTGTTCCATATAATAAGTATAGAGGGGGGGGAGTAAAAATAGGACGGCACTCGCTCCGCTTACCGTTAAAAAAGGAAAGTTAAAAAGTTTTCGTTATGATTTTACCAACGGGTTGACTCCTAAAACGCCCTTTAACTTCTAATGTTATTCTTATGGGAATTAAATTTTAAAAAGTGGTCGTAGGTAAAATTTTATTTACTGTCACAAATTAATTATGCATATCTAATTATATAAAATCATATAAAAATCTATTTATATAACATTAATTTATATATGTCACAAAATGTTTGTTTTTGATTATTTTTTATCAAAATTGTTGAGTGCAATTTAATATTTGCCACATGTCTGTTTTTAATGTTATACTTCATTGATGAATACCATGGTTAAATTGTAAAATGTGTTGTTAAAAACAATAATAGTCAAATCTATGTCTTCTTTAGTTGGTTGAATTAAAAGTGTTGAGTTTAATAATTCAGTTTGCCCTTTTATTTAATTGAGCTAGGTATTTTAATTTAGTGTCCAGGGAAACCACATATTTACAGGTTATGGGCCCAGTTCT